GTTTAATCATGGCGTCGATACATGTCTGTTGCTCTTTTGGCAGGTATTAATCAATCTGAAAGAGGAATGCCAAGTAATGTGAGAGAAACAAAAACAAAACAAGTAAATAGTAAGTAGAAGCTTCACTTAAAACAAAATCAAAAAATTCCAATTCACATATTCTTACTTTTATAAACCTAGTTTTAAATATGTTGCGACCAACTAGAGAAGAAAGAATAAAAGAGAGCGTTGTAAGGAAAACTTTTGTATCCAATGTTTTTAGATTGTTTTTCGCTCTAATCGTCTCATGCTCGCGTCCTCTGGTTGATGATGACGTTTGTCTTCTCTGGTTCAGTTTGCGTTTGTTGATCATGCAGGTAGGTCTCCTTTGCGTTGATCTGACTGTCAAATACTGCTCAAGCATACACTTCAGTGTAATGGCTGTAGGAGAAAACACATTAATGTAAGCAGTCAGCCATTTGGCTTGAAAAGGTTTTAAATTCTACTCTAACATACTTATATGTGCGCCTCTTTAATGCAGACAAACAAAAATACTCTGTACGAACACTAAAAACCTACTGTCCAATTCCATGACTGTGACCAAACTACTGATTCACCTTTTCTCTACTGAATATTAACATTGCTGCTGACTAAATATATGAAGTAGTTTATCTGTGAATGTAGAAAACGGGCCATGTACCAGTTTTGTTGAACTGGTCTTGTCATCATCTGACGAATACGATGCCTCGTTTCCAGGACTTCAATCAGGCGGGGCAGCGTCTGGTCATCATCTGGGTCACCAGCCTCACAAGAAGGCAGGGCCGGAAGGCTTTCTATATGGAGCTTGATTTCATGCAGAGCTGGGTCATCTACTGTGTGAACAAGAAATATGTCCTTAGAAATGTTTTGCGTAGTAAATTAGAAACATACAGTGAACTAAACAGCTACATTTCTGAGATGCAGATCTCTGACATGTAAGAATGAACACGAAACAAGCCAATGAGCTTGTAGTGAATACTTAAGGATGATGTACCAGCATTAGTAGGACCTCTCGCTCTTACCGAGGTGTCGTAAAACTCATCTCTGAATGCAGTGTTCTGTTTGTGCCTGCGTCCTGCAGCAAGGGCCACAGATGGCCGGTCTACTGGTCGTGCCCACCTCACTCCATTCCTGTGTCATCTCTGCAAAGCGCATCACCAGCTGCAGGCATACAATGGAATAGCATTAAAAATACACTCCCCTAACTTCCTTAAAGCAGTCTAGCAGTGTTCCAAAGTAAATGTGGATCTTTTGAAACCCAAACTGAGGAAATCCATATATTTATGGGCACTCACGGGCAAAGAAAGAAAACCAGGGAGTGGATATTTAGCAATCTTGTCAAATATTTTGTTGTGTGTGTGGTTGTGATGGCAAGCCAGATCGAGTACTGTGCAATGGATGCATTTGTGAAGTGTCGACTTTGCATGTAAGGATTGACGATGTATGCTAAGAAAGTGAAGATTAAACGGAGATAAGATTTTTACCATTCAGGCCATTCTACAAAACAAATACATATTCTTAGCCATAGTTTCGTTCCCATAATCATCGGAGCGTTTGGGTTGACAATACACAACAATATTGCCTGAACTTTCGCCTCTCCTCCATCAAAGATGAGTTTTTATTAAACAGAATGTGGTAACTGTCTAGAGCGTCCCTGTATGGCAGCGTCCATTGGAAGAAAAAATAAAAGAAAACTTCCTTGGTCAACTGCACTACGTGTAAATGACCAAAAATAAGAATGCATGATGATATTATTTTTCGTTTTAACAAAGGAAATACAATATCAAGAGGGTTAACAGTATAAAAAGGGAAACAATACAGTGAATACAATGATTGGACACTCTGCGCACGGTGTATGGAAAGTCCCATTGCCGGTGAAAACCAGATGTGTGGGATACTAATAAAGGCATTGGTATTTTAACATGTGTTCATTTCATTGTATCTGTATTTGTTTTCTTTTTTAAACTGTTACCTCTCTGTTTTTAATTTCTTTGTAGAGAATATTCATCTGCATTCTTATTTTGTCATTTTACTCAAGTAAAGTGGCAGTTTCAACAGCAGTTTTCTTTTTTTTTATTTTGCTCTAGATGGTGGCCAAGTAACGAGGTGACTCATAAAGTTACAGCTGTGCTAGTTTAAAAAACTTATTTGTTGATGGAGAGGGAAAAGTCAACCAGCGATGCAGTTGTGTGTGTCAACCAACGCTGATGATTATGAAGAAAGCTATGGTAGAGTACTGTATTTGTTTGTGAATGGGCTTGAATGTAAAATCTTTTATATAATTATATCTCTTTAATCTCACTTCTTTACATCCATCGTCATCCTTCGCAAGTCTTGACTTACACAATGCATCATTGCAACTGCGTGTCTGCTTGCATGAAACACAAAAAAAATTTGACAAGATTTGCTAACATATCCATCCTGGTTTCTTCCTTTGCCTCGGTAGTGGCCGCATAAATATATGGATTTGCGCTGCAGTTCGGGTTTCAAAGATCCACATGTTTACTTTGGAAGCACTGGGCTTACGTGCTTAAGGCAAGTTAGGGAGTGTATTTTTTAATGGCTATTTCATTGTTGCGCTGCGCTAGCTGGTGATGCGCTTTTGGCAGAGATGAACACAGGAAGTGGAGGTGGCACGATCGCAGTGACCGGCCAATCTGTGGCCTTGCTTGCTAAGGAGCAGGCACACAGAACAGGCATTTCAGAGATGAGTTTTTCACGTCACGCTGGAAGAGCGGAGGAGGTCCACTAATGCTGTACATCTCCTTAAGTATTCAACTACAAGCTTCATTGTGGCTTGTTTCGTGTTCATTTCTTGCATGTCAGATCTGGGCATCTCAGAATATGTAAGCTGTTTTATTCACTGTATGTTTGTTAATTTTACGCAAACATTTGTCTTAATGAACATATTCCTTGTTTCACAACAGTAGATGACCCAGCTTCTGCTGAATCAGCTGCAATAGAAAGCCTTCCGGCGCCTAGGCCTCCTTGTTGAGCGGTGACTCAGGCTGATGACCAGTACCTGCTCCGCCTGATTGGAAGTCCTTGGAAAACGAGGCATGGCGTATTTCGTCAAGATGATGGACAGACCGAGTTCAACAAAACTGGTACAGGCCGTTTTCTTACATCAACAGCATAGCCTACTTCATGAATTTTAGTCCAGCAGCAATTTAATATTAGTAGAGCAAAGGTGAATCAGTACGTTGGTCACTAGCATGGAATTGGAACAGAGAGGTATTTTGTGTCACAGAGTATTATTTTTGTTTGTCTGGCATTAAGAGCGACATTTAAGTTTTTTGAGGTAGAGGTTTAAAACCTTTCAAGGCCAAATGGGCTGACTGCTACATTAATGTGTTTTCTCCTATACAGCCGTAACTGAAGTGTATGCTTTGGAGCAAGTTTTTGAACAGTGCAGATCAACGCAATAGGGAGACCCTTACCTGCAATGATCAACAAGCAAAGCAAACTGAACCAGAAAGACAAATCATCATCACCAGATGGACGGAGTGATGGGAACGATTACGAGAAAAAATCTAAAACATTTGAATACAAGGTGTTTTTTTTGGTCCTTCCACACCCTTCTTTTCTTCTTTCTTCTCTATGGTATCGCAACATTTTAAAATGTTTTATAAGAGTAATGAATATGTGAATTGGAATTATTTGATTTGTATTTAAGTGAAGGGCTTGTGACTTAGCTATTACTTGTTTTTGTTTTGTTTCTCCTCGACATTGACTGGCATTCCCTCTTCAGATTGATATCCTGCATAAGACAAAACAGGACATGTATGAGCATGATAAACGCTCACTTAAGCAGGGAGCTGGAAGACGCCGTGAGCAGAGGCTAGGCA